TAATTGATGTGTTTATTTAATGCGGTGCTTTGTTTGTTTCTGGGAGACCTTTCTTTCCCCCCACTCCTTGAAAATGTTATTTAGCTCATGATGGATCATTAAATTGGTGGCATATTAGCCTTGGGGAAGCATGGTAAATGCACAGTATAATCAGGGACATCTGGAGATTATTTTTTAACCTGAAGGAGTGACTCTAATGGGAAAAGCTGCAGGTTGTCTAGTAGTGTGTGTGTGGGGCATCTGGGAATGTCACTGTTCAGACCTCACTCAGTCATTGGCTTGTCAGGGATCCAGATATTCCCTTGAGAGTTTCATTTTCTTGGTTTCTGAGACTAAGCAGAGCAGCTGTTGCCAGGTACTGTCACAGAGTCCACACGACACAGGGCTGAGGAGCCCAGGGAGCCCGGAGTGCAGGTTTTCCAGCTTTATTTCCTATCCAAGTAGGATGATGAGGCTGAGAACCGTTCTGGAAGTGGGGTGACAGGAGAGGAGTATAGAGTCCATGAACGGAAGTTGAAAGATCTTTGCAGGTGAAAATTGCCAGCAATATTATAGAGAGATACTGTAGTCCACCTTCGTTTTGCTCCCCATCCTGGTAGGGGCACCTGCTTTCACTCCCCTGAACATCAGCTGCGGACCCAGGCTGCAGGAGCTAGGCATCCTTCCTAGGCCAGGCTGTGAGCCTCTGCCCTGTAGAGGCCACACAGCCTGCAGGGTGCTCAGGACAGGCACTGGGTGCAGAGGGCGTGGTGGGTGAGGAGGAAGGAAACTGCAGCAGGAGAGGCTGTTGCCACCGAGGGCCTGAGCGGGAGGATGCTAGCAGCCACCCTCCCCCAATCCCTGCCAGGCTTCCTCAAACCCAGGGCTCCTTGGGACCTCTTGCCCCTCTCTTTACCACTCAATTTAAGACAAATTTATCTTCAGCCAGCCTCAGCGCCTCAGGCCACTGGAGCCGTTGTTTCCCCCTCACTCCCTTCAACAACCAGGCAGACATCCAGGTGTCTCCTGAGCACCTGCTACATGGGGATCCAACTTGGTGAAGCCACAGCTTAGCCAGTGGCACATGTAGATCTCAGGGGCTGCCACGTGCCCAGTGGGTGGGAGAGGCTGGATCTTCTATAGACCTGGGGCTTGTGTGCAGTGTGAGAGTCCAGAGGTGACAGAGACCCTTAAAGACGGGTCAGGGAGCCATGTGATGTGACCAAAGTCCCGCCCCCTGTGGGAATGTGCATGGAGAGTCGACAAATATTCAGTCTGGGGAAGTGGGGCTTGGTGGAGTCCAAGGAAGACAGCTTTACTATCAGGCTAAAGGGTATGGATTTCACCAGTAAGCAATGGGTGGCTTCCCATTTGAGGATAGGCGGGTTGCCCAAAGTGCTTTGTGCTACGTATGGAACTGGCTTTTTTCCTTTCAGAGCTGCGCTGTCCCATCTGGAAGCCACTAACCACAAGGAGCTTTTGAGCGCTTAGAATGTGGCTAGTTCCAACTGATATGTGTTGTAAGAACAAAATAGGTACCAGATCTTGAAGACTTCATATAAAAAAAAAGATCGTAAAATATCTCAGTAATCTTTTTTATCAAATACATATTAAAATAACATTTTGGCTACATTGAGTTATACAGCAATATTAAAATTAATTTTGCTTGTCATGTTATCTATTTAAAGGTGACTACTAGAAAATTTAAAATTCCCTAGTGGCTCACATTATAATTCTATTGGACAGGGCAGGTGTAGTCTTTCACTGTCCTTTCTAAAACATGCATTTCTTTCCCATTATCAGGATTGTCTTCCATTCCTTTATCTTCTTACAGCTCTTCTTTCCCTTGCTTGCCCTCTTTCCCCTTTGGTCTCTCCTTTCACTGTAATGAGGGGAACCGGTGGGGCGAGGGAGAGGGATCAAGTGCCCGCTTCCTCATGCGCCCTTCCCTGGACTCATCAAAGCCAGAATTCATAAAGTAGGCACAGAGGCCCTACTTGTCCAGAGCTTGTAAGAACTAAGGTTCTAGGTAATTGTTTCTTGGCTCATTTTTATTTTCACTTCTTTTTGCAAATTTTTTAAAAAAAGAAATCTACCGACATATACATTATTTACAAACTTGAGTAGATCAATATAAGACATATTTAGTAAAATAGTTGTTATCTGCCTCTGCCCTTCCCACTAGGGTCAAATTTGCCTCAGTTCAACAGTTTCAACTCTTTTTCAGGCATTCACTTCCTATTTGCATAAGTTACTGAGTAGATTTATAACTAAACAGTTAAGAGTGCTATTTATTGATTTTTCAATTTCTGACATTGTCTGTATTCTTCATATTATGGAAGAAATGTTCTTTTCTGTTGTAATATATCAGTGATTTTATTATTAATATGCAAATATTATTTATTGCTGAGCCAAGTAGTACATAATGATTACACTTTCTTGCACAACTTTTTTTCTGAGGTGATCATTGTCTCATTTCTTTTGTTATTGTCCTGCTTCCTATGATTTTTTAAAATAAATTCTTACCAAATTATCAATGTTTAAATTCCTTCAAACTGTATTTTCAAGTGGCCAAATTTATCTGTGATCTTATTCTTTCCATCCTCCTTGCCTCCAGATACCCTCCTGAACCCCCACCCTTGTGTGGAACTTCCGCACCACTGTGCTTGAGAATACTCCAGAATACTCCACCTCTTTGGGGTGCCTCCCTGTTTCATGGCTCCTTTTTTTCTTGGTTTATGCCAGTACCTCTTTGTGAAGACAAGAAGGTTAATTTTTATCTGAAATCCTGCGTGTCTGAAATGGTTTCAGCCTACTCCCACTTTTGATTAATGGACATAGAAATCTAGATTGAAAATCATTTTTTTCTCCCCTCAGTACCTGGAAGGCACTTACTCTACAGCTGTTAAGCTTCTAGGGCCATTTTTGAAAAAAATCCGATGCTATTCTGATTTCTTCCCTTTGCACAGGAGCTGTGTACTTTCTTTCTGGGAGATGCTAGAATGTTCTCTTGGCCCCTGTTTGGAGTTCGCAGTATGATGCCGTGGAGTGGGGTTCTTGCCCCCATCTGCATTGCCGGGTACTTAGACCACTTTTTACATCGAGAATCACAGACCTTCAGTTCTGGAAAATATTTTTTGTAATTTTTTTATAATCGTCTCCCTATTTCCTCCATTTTTTTTCCTCTCTTACTAGTGCAATGTGGAGTCACGTGTTCAACCGTGTCTTATTCTGCTTCTGGGAAATGTTCCTGGCTTAATCTCTAACTCTGCTATTGAATTTCAGATTTTGCTTTGTATATTTTTAATTTCCAAGAGCTCACTTTCCATTTTTCCATTGCTCATTTAAAATAGCTTCTTATTGTTTCAAGAATTCAACATCTTATTTCTCTGAGGATACTGAAGCCCCCTGCCCCTGCCCCAACTGCCCAATCCTAACATTAGTCCTGTATCTCTGAATTCATTTTTTTTCTTTTTAAGTTTGACATGTTCTCCCTCTCTTTTTCACTTTGTAACCTTCCTCATCAGATCCGTGGACTGTCTGATCATGTCAGACAAAGCAGTCCACTAAGAGCTGTCCAGAAGCTCTGTGTGCCTGTGTGTAAGAACAGATTTACAAGTAACTGGAGGCGTTACATAGTGGCTAGGGAGACAGCCCCAGGCGTTTTATTGGCCCACTTTCAACCAGAAGAACCTACAGATCTCTTTCTAGGACCAACGATTTTCTTGAGAAAAGATCCCTCAGTTTTCATTCCAGGACAGTACGCAAAAAGCGACACATACCTGGTGACAGGATTTTTGGAACCAAGAAGTAGAAAGAGTAGGGGGTTCCAAAGTCCCATAAACAGACCCTCACTTAATTGTGTTTGACATAGGTCTACATCCCTGAGTAGTGTCTCCCACCCCACTGGGGACTTTCTGGGAGGGGCAGTGCACAGGAAAGGGAGAAGCCCTGGGAATAACTCCTCCTTGGGGAGACTTGTCCTCAGTCTCTCTCTGCTCAGCTCTCTCCCGTCTCTCCTTCTCTGAGGTAGCCACTAGCTCATTCCTGACTTCTTGCTGACCACCCCTCTGGTAGGCTCTTGGTATCTGATCTAAATTTCTCAGCTCTGCTAATTCCTCCATCTGTTTTCTGTCTTCCTAATTTCTGTTGACGTCTGTTGCCTGCTGATGTCACTCACCCTGTTCTGTCTTTGTGTCTGTTTATGGTCTCCTTCTTCTGTTGGTCTCATTTCAGTGGGGTTTGGGAAGGAGCAGACACATGTTGAATCTGCCAGGTTTAGCAGGAAGTTCTTTGCAAATCTTTCTGTACTGCATGTCTACCCCCTTACCTCACTGGAAGATTGCTCCAGTGCCCACAGCTGGCCTGGGAAGTGGAGAATTTGCAAGACTTTCTTGTCATCAAATTCAATATAGTTAGAAAAATACTGGAGCCTAAATTAAATGTGACTAGAGCCCAAGTTATACTTGGGTATGTTTGGTTTTAAATAAATTCTAGATATTATTATAAATTATTATTTACATAATAAATTATTTTATGTGACGCTCCCCCTTAAAAATCACAATGTAAACACAACTTCTGGCTTCTTTCTCTGTGGAACAGGACTTGGTCTGGATTGGGTCTTGGTTAGCCAAGGTCTCAGTGAAGTTCAGAGATTGGCTAGGCTGCCCCAAGTTTTCTCTATGTGGCACATACGAGAGTATGTGGAAGGAGTTTAATTCAAGAAAGCAGACCTGCCATCAAGGACCTCTAAACCTCTTTAATAAGTGTGTTAATTATTTTTTAAAAAGATGTTTATCTGTTCATTAAAGTAAACACCATTTCCCCTCCAACACACACGCACAAAACACTGCAACCTGAAAGATGATCATGCGCAGACAGAAGTCATGGAATTGCTATGTTCTGCAAAGGTTTGAGTTTCACCAGCTCCAAGCTGCCCGGGGTGGGGACCGGGGTCCGGGGATCATGTGGGAGCATCCTAGTGCCGGTCCTCACGGACACTTCTGTCCTTGCCTCCTCAGGTGCCCCCTTTCAAAGGTCTCAGCATCCTCACGCTACCTCCTGTCGCCACTTCCACCTGGGCCCCCCGCAGCCACAGCAACTCGCCCCCGACTTCCCGCTGGCCCATCCCGTGCAGTCGCAGCCGGGCCTCAGCGCCCACATGGCCCCGGCCCACCAGCACAGCGGCGCCCTGCACCAGTCGCTGACCCCGCTGCCCACCCTGCAGTTCCAGGACGTCACAGGTCCCTCCTTCCTACCTCAGGCCCTGCACCAGCAATACCTCCTGCAGCAGCAGCTCCTGGAAGCCCAGCACCGCAGGCTCGTCTCGCACCCCAGGTCCACTGCCTGCGCCAAGGGGCGGGGACAAGGAAGGGGCTGGGCTGGGCGGAGGCGAGGCCGGGCTAGGCCGTGAGCCGGGCTAAGGCAGGGGGTGGAGCCAGGGCGGGGGCAGGGGCAGGGGCGGGGCGGGGCAGGGGTCGGGTAGCGCTCTGATTCTTGGCTTCTTACCAGACTTGGCCAACAGTTGCCAAGGAGGTAGCTTTTTCCTTGGCATTCATTTCAGACAGTGAGCTAGACCATCACCTGATGGTTCCTTTAGAAAGCTAGCTTGTGTCTCTATCTCATCCTCCAGGTCAGGGTCTGGGGTAACGGGTGGTCTGTGGTGTCCACAGTGGAATTTTGCAAGTGTGGGGAGAAATTTAACTAGAGACCCCCACATCCTTTCCAATACCCACGAATCATAAAGAATTCCAAAGGAAACAGCTGGTTCTAGCCCTGCCCTCAAAGAAGCCAAGCCTAGTTGGAGAGTCCAGCTGCAGACCCATGAAACAGGAGAGTAAAATTAGACGGTGCTAATCAAATGGGTCTAAAGTAGCTGTACTTCTCTGAGCCTCAAGAAAACAAAAAGAAAAAGAATTGGGTTAGTGCAGTGATTCTCAAACTTTCTGGTCATGAGCCCTCTTTATCCTCTTTCAATAAATGATTACAAAGAATTTCTGTTGGTATGGGTTAGACCATCAATATTTACCATCTTAGAATTTTTTTTAAAAAGTGATCAATTCATTAAAAAATAAATCCTTATGCTAAACCAGTACAATGTTTTCGTGAAAACAACTATATTTTAGTGAGATTTGCAAATCTCTTTAAGGCACAGCTTAATAGAAGAGCTGTGTCCTTACTTCTGCTTCTGCACATAGTTTTGTAGAACGCCAAGTCACAAAGTTTCAAGAAAACCCCACTGTTCACTTGTGAGAGAATGAGGGTGGGAAGCAAACTGCATCATAATTTGATGTCTCAAACCTCCTGAAAGTTCCAGGGATTCCCAAAGGTGTGTGGAGCACTTTGAGAAACACTAGGTTAGATGATCTCTAGGGCCCTGGGCTTCAGGGACTTTAGCACTTGAGATCCCTGGGGCAGCAGAGCAGTGATGTCACAGGTCAGAGGTGAGAGGTCACCAGGATGTAGAGTGTTCAGGGAGGTCTTTCTGGAGAAGAGGGGCTTTTTAGCTGTTAAAGTTGGGAAGAACATGGAGAAGGAAGGAGGAAAGAAGAAGGTGGTGGAAACAGAGGGCTACATGGACAGGGCAGCCCACAGGAGGGGCATTTGTATGTTTTGAGGACAGCCCACCAGGAAAAGAGTGGGCGCATCTGAAGAAAGACAGAGGAAGTGACAGAGTTTAGGAGGAGGCTGGTGGCCTGCCACACACACCCAGGGAGAGGCCTGAGGTCAGCGGGCAGCCTGAAGACAGCTGGAAAGACAGAGTGACCAACTGCTATTCATCTGGGAGGTTTCCTTGGAGTTTGGGGGGTGCAGCCTGCTACCCGCTAGTCAGCGGGCTCTGTGTGAGGTATCCTCTGGGTGGCAGACATCACTCAGAGTGCTAGGAGCTCCGCTGTCCCTGGCAGGCCCTGATGCCATGGGCTCTCTCTTTCCTTTCTGGTGCAGGCGGAGTCAGGAGCGCGTTTCCGTCCACCCCCACCGCCTCCACCCCAGCTTTGACTTCGGCCACCAACTGCAGACCCCTCAGCCGAGGTATTTGGCTGAGGGCACTGACTGGTGAGTTTCTGGGATACCTGGGGGAAGGCGGTCTGTCAGTCTTGCCAGATCCATGGGATTTCTGTTTTCCTTCACTTTGAGTGATGCAGGGGGCCTAGACTTCGGTCTTGGCCTTTCTCTCTGCTTGTAATCACCCTCAGGGCCAGCTGGTCCCACCTGGCCCTGGTTCCAGCAGTTAGCTTAGATATAACTGGGTTTTGTCATGTGCCTACGCTGGGGCTCAGTATTTGTAGTCCTCCAGGGGTGGAGAGAGACAGGGATACAAAACATTTTCTAAGTTCAGTGGCTCTCTGAAGTGGTAGATACGGGGGAAGGCAGAAAGGAGAATTCTGAGGAGCTAGGGTGGTCAGGGAAACTTCCAGGAGGAAGTGGGTCTTGAGGGAGCCACAGCAAAGTGCCAAGGAGTACTGCCAAGATAGCGCAGGATGAGGCCATGGGTCCTGAAGGGTGGAGACAGAGCTGGCCAGGTTGGAGGTAAAATGGGGAGAGAAGGTGGCGAGCGAGGCTGAGGGTTTTATAACTGTCTGGTAGGCAGGGGCCCTATGCGGTCTTCCCACCATCTCCTGTGCTTGGGATGGAGGTCTTTGTCATCTTGGGAAGCAGTTTTGCTTGCCTTTGGTTCTTGGTCCCACTCAAGTCTCTGGTTCTGGTTTTGGAGAGGGCTGACTATAACCAGAGGTAGCTCAGAACACTCAAATACTTTTAAAAGATGTGCAGTCCACTGGATCTTTAGATGCAAATGGCATCATCCCTGCAATGTATTTCTAAATAGTTCAGTAAAAAATAATTATTTCTCTAGAGATATGAGGGAAATAGAAATGCAATAAAATAGTAAAATGGTAGCATTTGGGGAATCTGAATGAAGGGGGATCCAAGAATTCTTTGTGCCATTCCTGTAACTTTTAGGTCAAAAAAATATTTCTAAATTTAAAAAAATTTTCTCACTGGAAATAATGAGTAATTGAAAAAAAAATGGATTGAGTAATTTAAAAAACAAATGTATTGTGGTGTCATTTGCAGCCATTTGGCCCAGCAAACTGGCTTAGATGAGGGAGTCTTTGGAAGTCCCTTCCATAGACATCTAGGAATGATTCAAAGGGGTGGTTCTGGTTGATGGATTGCCAGGGGTCTTGTAGGTGCAAGAGAGAGGAGTTTTGGCATTTCTATTGTTTCTGGCCTTCTGCTTATTCTTAGGTACAGTCTCCATTAAATTGAACAACCCTTTAAAAGAGATCGCACTGCTGCCAACTTCAGCCCAGCCTTTTTCTAATTAGCAGATTCAAATTAGGAAGATTTAATTGCAGTTTGGATTAAATCCTCTCCCTCAGCAGTCAAGTCAATTCAATTTGATTCAGTTCAGCACACATGGAGCACCCAGGGCGCTTACCCAAGGCTGAGTGATTTGCATGCGCTCACAGGGCCCGACAAGGCCTGTGGGACTGGACGGATGACACAGGTGTCATTGCCCCGGAGAGATGTTAGAGGAGCCGTGCAGGTGTTAGCCCTGTCCCAGCTTGCTTTATTGAGCCAGCCTCTTTCTTTGTTTTCCTTTCAGCCACTCTGCAGTCTTGGTCCCTGCTGCCTGGAGGAACCCAGAGCATGAGACCCTGAGAGTCTGTCCCATGCCCCAGAGTCCTAGCTGGGTCTACGTGAGGCTTCCCTGCCTATCTTGTTTCCACTCTTCAAATAGGAAGCCATTTCTAGGGCAGGAGGTGACTGTTGCTTCTTTTATGTAGTGAGCTCTGTCCCAGCAAGGGCCATCTTAGTGTTGACAAATGGTTTTTGTAATTGCGATCCTGCTAACTGCATCCCAAACCTCTTTTCCAGAGAGGACTCTTCTACCAGGAGAAGGGAGCTTGGTAATTGGATTACAAGAAATGCATGGTTGGAGGGCCACTTTTCACCCTCTGTGAGGAGTCCTTGGGAGGGGGAGGGGGACTGCGGTAGCCCCCTCCCCCTTTTCTTTAGCCAACCATCAGAAACTGTTGAATGTTCATTAGGCCATCTGAGAATTCTGCAGCAGGTTCTTGTCCAGTCCCAGACTTGAGGCTGCCGTGGCCTTTCTTTCTCCCTCCCTTGGGGATATTTCAGCTCTACCGCAGCAGCTTTTCCAGCTGGGCATCCTGGAGCAGAAGGCCTTGGGTGATGGATTCCAAGTCTTTTTCTCTCTGGCTTATGTCCAGAGACCTGACCTTGACCTTGAGCGCTAGTCCTGATGTCTCTGTCCTTGTCTTGCTCTTTTTCTGACTCTGTTCTGGCTTCTCAGTTCCAACTCTGACCCCTAGGTTGACTGCACCCCACTTTGTCACAGCCCTACCTCTACCCAGGAAGAGGTCTCCAGATGACTAGGACCTGTGGGCAGAGGGTGGTAGAAGTGGGGAGCCTCATGTGGTGCACCCCCCCCAACCAAGCCTCTGGAGTTCCCCAGAACTTAACAGTCTGCTCAGCAACCAGGCCAAACCATGTCTTGAGCAAATGGATAAGGGAAAATAAAGTTGAGCTTGATGTTTAGGCACAAATGAAAAAAATGATATATATGGAGACAAGGTCTACAGGAAATCTCCAGAACTTATCTCTGACTTAGCCCTGTGGTTTTAGGCCCGTGTGATATTTTTGCGACTTCAATCCCTACTTCAAAACTCATTCAGGTTCTCAAGGGTTGATGGCAACAACAGAGAGTGAAGGACACTGCTTCTCCAGGGGCTGCTGTCCCTTGGGTAAATCCTATCCAGACATCTCAAGGATCAACCAAGCTCCATCCTCCACTGAGCAGACTGACGCAGGAAGGATTTTTCTGATGATTCTATTGTTCTTTTCTTCTTCCTTATATCTGCTTAAGATGGGACCTTAGGCCATGACTTAGACCTTACTTCTTTTCTGATATAAACATATTAACTATGATTTTTTCTTTTCTTTTTTTTTTATCCTTTTTCTTTTTCTTTTCTTTCTTTTTTTTTTTGGTTTTTCTCCGGTACTGGGAACCGAACTCACGACCTTGCACTTGCCAGGCAGGTGCTTTTGCCGCTGAGCTAAGTCCCCAGCCCCTTTTTTTGCCTTTTTGGAACAGGATCTCACTATGCAGTTCAGGATGGCCTTCAGCTTACCTTGTGGCCCAGGCTGGCCTTGAACTTGCAACAATCCTCCTGCCTCAGCCTCCCAAGTGCTGGGATTGCAAGCATGCACTGATTTTTTTCTTTTTTAAAGACTGAGAATTTTCTGATTTTCCTAATGACTTATTTTTGACATTGGACTCTGTAGAAGTATATTGTCCACTTTTTTGTTTGTTTGTTTGTTTGTTTTCCGGTACCGGGAACCGAACTCATGACCTTGCGCTTGCCAGGCAGGCGCTTTTGCCACTGAGCTAAATCCCCACCCCTCCACTTTTTGAATATTTGAAAATTTCTAGATTTTTTTGTTATTGATATCTAATTTAAAACCAATGTAATTAGAAAATATGGTCTGCATAATTCTAATCCTTTGAAATTTATCAATATTTGTTTTATGGTTCAGCACGTGTTCCATATGTGTATGTATTCAAAAGAATGTGTGCTCTGTTTTTGTTGAATGTTGTATGACCAGCACTGTAAACTCAAGTTATCCCAGCACTGGGAAGGCCAATGAAGTCGCATCATTTTATTTTATCCTATTTTGTGAGTGTCCTCCATTTATCATATGCATATTTAGTTTATCATTCTATCGTAGGATAGAATTATACTACTTTGTGTGTAATGTAGAACTCACTACAGTGTATTTCCATTATTACCCCTTTGCTATTCCTTTTGTAGTTTGTGTATGCACATGTTATAACATCCCAATACATTGCTATAATTTTTGCTTTCAATCAAGCATTTGGCAAAAATTTTTATGGGAACACAGCTATATCTATTTGTTTACTTGTGGCTCATGTTGCCGCTGAACTACAGCGTCTATTGCAATAATTGTAACAAAGAAATATGGGCCTTTGATGCTAAAATACTTATTCTCTGATCTTTTAAGAAAAAGGTTGCCAATTTCTGCTTTAAACAATCAAACTCCATGTTTTAAATGGAGAAAAGGAATATTTTATATTTCTCACACAACTGCTGTCCTGGCAGCCTTTATTTTTCTGCATAGCTCTAAGGTTCTATCCGGAATGATTTGCTTTCCTTCTGACTGGAGAACTTCCTTTAATGCTGTGTTTCTTGTAGTGCTGGTCTGCCGACAGCATTTCTCTCCACTTTTGTTTACCTAAAAATGTCTTATTTCACCTTTATTTTGAAAGGTGTTTTTTGCTGGCTGACAGGTTTTTGTTGTTGCTGTTCTTTAGATAAAAATGTCTTCCATTGTTTTTTGGCTTGCTTTGTTTCTGGGGAAATCTATGGTAATTCTTATGCAGGTTCTTTGGCCTCTGATGGGTCTATTTTTCTTTAATTGGTTTTAAAATTTTATCTTTAGTAATGTTTTTCAGACATTTGATTATTATGTGCCATGAGGTGATTTTCTTTGTGTTATTCTGCTTGAAGGTGGTTATGCTTTCTAAATCTATGGGTTTATAGTTTTCACCAAATTTGGAAAAATTTTCAAGCATTTTCCCTTGAAAATATTTTTTCTATCCTTTATCCTCCCTCTTCTCCCTTTGAATCATTTTTATTTTTCCAGTACTGAGGATTGAACCTAGGAGCTTAATACTGAACTGCATCTCCAGCCTTTTAAAATTTTTTAAATTTTGAAACAGAGTCTTGCTAAGTTACTGAGGCGGGTCTTGAACATGTGATCCTCTTGCCTCAGCCTCTTGGAGTGTTGGAATTACAGGTGTGCTGCCACACCCAGCTTACTTCTGAGTCTTTACTTACTCCTTTAGCTGACTGTTGTCACTGAGACTGTTAATTTTTTACTTTTCGTCTGCATACTTTATTTAGATTACTTTATTGGTATATGTTGAAGTGATTAATGATTTCTTCTATAGTGTCTAAACTGCTATTAATCTAACCCAGTGAAATTTCATTTTAAACATTGCATTTTTTATCTCTAGAAGTTCCATTTAGGTCATTTTATAAATATCATCCTTTTTTCTCCTTCTTATGTTTATATTTTTATCTACATATTTAAAATGACTACAATAGCTACTTTAGCACCTTTATTTTCTAATTCTATCATGTTTGTCATTTCTGTGTCTTGAGGGTCTATTGGCTGATTTTGACCTGATTATGGGCATGTTATCCTTTTCAAAAATTTTTTTGTTTTACTTTTTATTCTTTTATTTTTTGGCATCCGGAATTGAACTCAGGACCTTGCCCTTGCTAGGCAAGCACTTGTGCTGCTCAGCTATATTCCTGGCCCCATACCATTTTTTTTTTTTTTTAGCACATCTAGTTTTTTTATTGAATGATGAATATTGTGAATTATACATTGTTGAGTAAGTTTGTTTTACTCATTTAGAGATTGTTGAACTTTGTTCTACTAGGCAGTTCAGTTTTATTCTTTGGAGACTTGTTTTTAAGTCTTATTACTGCAGGTCTAGAATATTCCTAGATCAGAGAATACTCTAGACCTGCCCTAATAAAGCTTCTAAGCAAGCTTCAAAAGGCTCTCCGGGGTCTCTGTTGAATTCTCTGATCATCAAGGACTCTCTGTGCTGACTTCTTGTAATTTGAATGCGTCCTAACCCTATGTAACTTCTGGCAAACATTCACTATTCCTTGGGTACTCTTTGCTCAACCTTGTGGGATTTCATTCCATGCATACATTACCTTAGAATTCAGCAAAGATGCCAGGGGACTCAAATGCAGATTTCTGGGACTCTCTTTTGATGCAGCTTCATTCCCTCTGAAATACTGTATTCTGGATGCACTATCATGGGAAAAGCCAGGAAAGCTGTAGGACTCACCTTGTTTGTTTTCCTTCTCCCAGGGATCACAGCTCTGCACCACTCATTATGCAGTGTCTGAAAACAGATTTCATGTATTCTGTGCAGTTTTCTAGTAGTTTACTGTGAGAGGCTAAATCTGATTCCTGCTACCCTAACACATGGCTGGGAGTAGAAATCCCTTTATGGCCCTTTAAAAGAACCATTCAATTCCAATTCATTTTAAAAAATGAACACACTAAAGAAACAAGAGTTTACTCTTATCTGGATTTTACTTTTACACTCTGGTGGTGTCACTTAAGATGTTCCAGTTTCTTATATTCCCTACACATTGGCACTTAGATCAAGGCTCCAGCAGCGTAGTATTCAACTCTTGTTTCTTAGCAAAAGTACTTCAGAAGTGGTGTGTCTTTCCACCAGACAGCACTATACGTCTGTTGTCTCTCCTTTTGTGATGTTAGTAACAATTGATGATTTTTGCCTAGATCCTTTATTTCTTTAGGGGATGCAAAATGATAACAAATAATTTAATCCTTCTTTATTCATTTATTAACTGGAAGACATTTATAAAGAGAAATTTTTCCTCATCAAGTATTTGGTTACCCTGAAGTACATTTAATAAGGAAATGGCAAGATAAATGTTTGGTTCTTTCTTTATTTTACTAGCTTTCCAAGTGAAGAGTTGGTTCCCTACTATCCTTCAGAGAGAGTATCCTAATCATTGGTTCACTCTGATCAGTTAAACCTGTTTCCTGTGTTTCGGTCTTTATTGCAGTTGTGCTTATTTTTTCCATAATACTTCAAAAAGTCTGATTAAATTAAAATGAAAACTCATAAATAAACAGAATTCTCTTTGAATATTAAGACATTTCAGGAAATTTCTGATGTCAAATTTATTTTTAAAATTCTTTATCAGTAAATATTTGCCATACCCATGAATGCGTTCATTGTGAGGGGTTGGTGCATGTGTATATTGCATTTTAATCCTTTTTATTTTCCTTTCCCCTCCCTTGCCTTTTCCTCTCTCCATCTCTAGATCCCTTTTCCATTTGCAGAAGTTCTATCTTCTTGTTTCCTAGTACCTACTTTTTATTCTGCTCCTTAAATTATTTATAATTTGGGTTTCTCATATATGAGAAACCATGTGATATTTAAGCTTCTGTCTGATTTACTTCACTTAGCATCATGATCTCAAGGTACGTTTATTTTCCCACTAATGACTTAAATTTGTCCTTCTTGAAAGATGAGTGAAGTTATGCTTATTGCCATGCAAATTATCCTACCCATGCAAATCATCCTGTCCAGTGGGAGCCTCTTCTGGATGGCCCCTGAGCACATGGCCTTGACCCCAGCATCCTTTGATAGCTGTCTTGCTTTCAGTTATGAAGAGATGGTTTATTCTTATTTTGTGCATTTTTCCCACAGATCTGAAATAAACCTTTTTGCCAAATTAGTCATTGGTTCCTCTTCAGTGTAACTAATTAATTTATTAGATTTAAGTGAAATGAGTTTCCCTATACTTTTAGGCGTGTGTGTGTGGTGGGGTGCAGGCATGCAGGTAGGACAGTTTTCCAGCCTGTGGAGCTAAGTGTAGGTCCCTGTCCTGTGTTCTCAAGGTGTTCCTCTGCTTTCATCTGGGCCTTGTCCTTCCTTCTCTGTGTGTCCCCAGTCTGCTCTGTTTGAATACTTCTTTCAGCATTTCTCTCAGTGATGGGCTTAGTCTTGGGAGGGAGATTTGGGCTCCAGTGCTTTCAGGCTTTGCAGAGCCCTTTGCTCTGGGGTCTGAGCTTCTTCCCCTTACAGAGAGGGGCAGGGTTGAGTGAAGGAAGGTCCCTTGCAGCTCTGACAGTGTGTGGCTCTGATATCTGAGGTCCCTCCTGGAACCAGACGGTACACCTGCCACCCGTGGTTCACTGAGGTTGTGTCCCTGCAGGGATCTCAGCGTGGATGCTGGCTTGAGTCCTGCTCAGTTCCAGGTGCGGCCCATCCCTCAGCACTATCAGCATTACCTAACGACTCCTCGAATGCACCACTTTCCCAGGAACTCCTCCTCTACGCAGATGGTGAGTGAAAGGGCGCTGCTGGGAAATGAACCGCGTGTTGGGTGCAGTGGTCAGCTGAGGCCTGTAGCTTCTCTGTGTCCCTGCTCCGCTGTGTCCAGCCTGCCCTGAGTCCTGGCTCACCAGGCAGACCAACCACTGCTCTGGGCTGAGTAGGAGTGAAAGGGAAGCTGCTGGGCTAGAAGCTGGTCCTGTGGAAGGAACGCAAGTAGAAAAGGCAGTGGGACAATGCTGGGGCCTTTGGGGGAAATGCACTGGGCTGAGATCAGGTGGAACAGACTCTGTCCCTCCTATGACCTCAGAATTTCCTGTGACCATATACTCTCAGTCTTTGGTTTTACTTTTCTGTGAAATGGGAATGTAGATGTCTGCCCGGCACACCTGGTGTGAGGGTCAAGAGATCGCAGAGGCACTGTTCTGATCACTTTATGTGTCTTATTTCATTCTGTCCATAACCTCGCACAAATGAGTTTTATCCCTGTTTTACAGATTGGCAATCTGAGGCCTAGTGAGGTTGTGTAGCTGGTCCTGGGATGCACAGTAAGGGGTTAGAATGGGAGCTGTTCCTTATCTGACTCCTAGTCAGGGTGAAGAAGAAGTGAAGGAGTTAGGGTCAAGCAAATACAGGGCCAGTCTCTACCCAAACTATTGATGTTTTTCTCCACATGGACGTTTTTGCACTCATTTTGACTTTAAAAATATTTCACAACATTATTATATACTTTGATTGCTGACTGTTTTGTGCTTTGCCTTGGCTCTGGCCTGCCCTGAACCAGATAATGGACTCTGCTGCCCAACTGCCTGGTTTGAGTCCTGGCTCTGTCACTTGGTTGCATAACTTGAGCTAATTACTTAATCTTTCTGTGCCTCACTTTGCCCATCAGTAAAAGGGGGCTGTAATTGCACACACAATGTAGATCAAGTGAGGTGATTGGATTGGTTTGTCATGTGAAGTGCTTATGGCAGTGCTTGCCATGAAGTCAGTACTCAGTCAGGGTTAGTTGTCATTTAACTGATTTTGTCAGTGCTTCTTGTGCTGGTTCAGTCACAAGTTTGGTTCTTGATGAGGAGAGAGGGACCCAAGGGAAGGGAGAGACATCTCTGCTACCTGCAGTATTGCTGGGTGTGCTAGCCAGTGATCATGGGAGGAGGAGTTGCATAGGAGTCTCATGGATAAACCTGGGATCTTCCTCTATTCAAGCTTTTCTTTTCCCAACAGGTTGTCCATGAAATCCGAAACTATCCTTACCCTCAGCTTCACTTCCTTGCTCTTCAAGGACTAAATCCCAGCAGACATACCTCTGCTGTGCGGGAGAGCTATGAGGTACGTTACTATGCCTGGAACCAGCTGGGTTGGCAGAGATGCCATTACTTTCCATCATCTCCCTGCTAGTGGGTAAGTGAAATTCCAGAGCAGAGAGAGAAAAGAAGAAGAAGGAGGAAGAGGAGGAGGAGGAGAAGGAAAAGGAGGAGAAGGGGCAGAAGAGCAGAGGAGGAAGAAGAGGAAAAGGAGAAGGAGAAAGAGGAAAAAGGAGGAGAGAGGAGGAAGAGGAAGTGGAGGAGGAGGATGAAGAGGAGGGCAGGGGATGGTACAGGCTTTATGAGACAGGTCCTTCTTGTTGGCTATGTGAATGCTTTTTGCTAACATCTTGGGTACCTTCATCTTTACCATGTGTGTACATGTACATTTAAATGTGCTGACTACACATGTCCCTGTTTTCTTCCTTGCAGGAACTGCTGCAGCTTGAGGACAGGCTGGGAAATGTGACTCGGGGAGCTGTGCAGAACACCATTGAGAGGTTCACTTTCCCCCACAAATACAAGAAGGTGAGGCTGCCAGCAGCCAGTCTACAGGGTCAGGGGGTGGAAGGAAAGTGAGTTGGTTCGTCTACTTGACAAATCCTGGCCTGGTCGTCTATATGGGGAACAGCCCCAAATCCAGATCCATAAACTTCTGCTCTGGCTAGATGCTCAGAAGCTGTGAGTCTTCTTCCTTATGCCAGGGGTGGTCAGAGGGAAGATGGAGGCTTCTCATCAGCAAAGGAGGAGGGCCCTGTGTGTGTGTGTGTGTGTGTGTGTGTGTATGCATGCACATATATCTGAATGTGGTAGGCAAAAGGCTGTTGGATGGAAAGATAAGATTTGCTTTAGAAAAATAATTCCAGGGCCAATGTCACCTATGGAAGAGTTTTGACAAGGATTTTCTAAATCTGACTATTAAGAGTGAGTATCCTGACTGAGGAGCTTTTAAAGCCACAGGGTCACAGGCTATATGCTAAGTCAGTAGAAATAGAATTGTCAGGATTATTGACCAAGATCTAGATTGGGATTAGAGACCAGGAATTTGCGCTCTTAATACATTTTAAAATTAAAAAATTAAAAAATTTAGAGGCAACCAAGATGTACTTCAGTAGGTGAATGGGTAAACTATGGTACATTCATACAATATTATTTCACAATAAAATGAAATTAGCTATTAAGCCACAAAAAGATGCAGAGGAGGGCTGGAGATTTAGCTCAGCGGCAAAGCACCTGCCTGGCAAGTGCAAGGTCATGAGTTCGATTCCTGGTCCTGGAAGAAAAATGAAAAAGAAAAGATGTGGAGGAACATTAAGTGCATATTACTAAGGGAAAGAAGTGAGTCTCTGAAGGCTGAATCCTGTATGCTTTCAATTATACAACATTCTGGAAAAGGCAAAACTGCAGAGATAATAAAAAGCTCAGTGATTGCCCGCAGCAAGGGAAGGAGGAATGAACAGGTGGAGCATAGAGGATTTTTGTGGCAGTGAACTTCTTTTGTATGCTATTGTAATGGTGGACACATAACATTACACATGGTCAAAACCAATAGAATTCCATGATACAAAAAGTGAACCTTCATGTAAACTAAGGGACCTCAACTAATAATACTCCACCAATAGTTTTGACCAATTATAGTAAGAGTATCACACTACATGAGATATTAATGTTAGGGAAACTGTGTTGGGGGAATATATGGTAACAGATTTTAATTTTTGCTCAATTTTAATGTAAACTAGAACTGCTATAAAAATAAAGCCTGTTGTAAAGACAAATGAGCAATTAATTGTAAAAGCCCTCTCTTTCAGAAGAAATTAAAAACATGATAGATATTGAGAAACTTAAGAGTAGGATATGCTTATGGTGGTCCAGCCAGAGGCTGTCATCATTGGCTCATGAGCTCAAGGATGGAGTGTTTGGAACTACCTGATATTGGAGTCAGGTCACCAGCTTTGAATTTCAGTTCTACTATTTACAGCTGTGGGACTTTGGACAACACGCTTGGCTTTCCTGACCCACCTCTTTCCTTTTTTTTATTCTTTATTTGTAGTACTTTGGATTGGACCCAAGGCCTTCATACTGAGCAACATCCCTAGCCCATTTTTATTTTTTAATTTTATGCCAGGGGCTTGCTAAGTTGCCCAGGCTGGGCTTGAACTTGCCCTCTGCCTGCCTCAACCTCCCAAAGTGCTGGGATTACAGGTGTGCACCACTCTACCTGGCTTTTTCTTTCTTTCTTTCTTTCTTTCTTTCTTTCTTTCTTTCTTTCTTTCTTTCTTTCTTTCTTTCTTTCTTTCTTTCTTTCTTTCTTTCTTCTTTTTCCCTAACATGAAATGGAATGATAACATTAGTAGCTACCATACGATTCACTGGGATGATGTATGCAAACAGCCCAGTGCAGTGCCTGGTACCTACTGAGTGTTCGGGAATGGAAGGCTGCTATTACATGGGGATGAGTTACACTTTCCTAGCTTGCCCACGTGACAGTAGTTGAAGACCATAAATCTTGTTACGCACATCTTCTCACAGAGGCATTGAATTTATTCATGAATAATTTCAACCACATTTATTGAGTGCCTACTACATGTCAAACTGTAGATTACATACTAGTAGGGATCATGACAGTATGTCAGTAGCTATGGGTATCATCTATGTGGGGAAAGTGGTCCTTCTCTGAAGAGGCTTTAAGGTATTGGAGAAGAATGTGGAAGGAAATGTGTGGATGTTCAGGGACCCAGAGTAGCTTCTGTGTCCCTGACTGAAGATGTTCACTGCTAGCAGGACCACACAGCACACCTACTGTCATTTCAATAGACCACAAGAAAATAGAGAAAAGAACCAACACAGAATGAAAAGGGAAAATGGGTGAATCAGTGAGATAAAGGGCTCACGTAAAAATTAGAATCAAAGGAGAATCAAGAAAATAAAAATACCTTAAGAGAGAAATAAGAAGAATTAAAAATGAGGAATGAAAAGAGTTTAGGATCCAAATAAAATGTCAAAAAATTTGACACTATGTAGCCCAGATTGGCCTCAGACTCATGATGATCCTCCTGGCTCAGCCTCCCGAGTGCTGGGATTACAGGTGTGTGCCACCAAGGCTGCCAAAATGTCAAAAAACTTTTGAAAACTCAAACCAAGAGTAAAACAATATAAAACAAAAAGTGTATCTTAAGGGCCAGGGATATAGGTCAGCAGTACGTTGCTTGCCTGGCAAGCCCAAGGTCTGGAGTTTGATTCCTGGCACACGCCCCCCCCAATGTATCTTAAAATAATATGATACAAACAAAATTATAGCCAGGTGTGATGGTGCATGCCTGTTTGAGGTGCAGGCATGTTTGTGGCCTCCTTCCACTCCCTGATAGAAAAGAGATGTCCAATAAGCCATCCTGTTAAGACTTGACTATTTGCCTTGTTTTGATTGTTTTTTCCATCATTATTCATGATTTCCTTTTTATACTTAGTGATTTTAGCTTCATGTTACCTTGTTTTACTCAATCTCAGCACTTGAGAGCTGAGGCAGGAGAAATGCCATAATCTCAAGACCAGCCTGGGCTACTTAGCAAGACCGCATTTCCAAAGAAAAAAGAAAAAAAAAAAAAAGAACAAAATTATAAAAAAAAATATATGCAATCAGAATAGAGATGTGTAAAAGGAAAAATGAGAACTAGGGAAAGATACAAAACATAAAATTAAAATCAGGAATGTCAGAGTTAAAAGGGAATGTTCATAAAATGAGAAGTTAAGGACAAAAGGATGAGTAATATTAAAATAAATAAATACAGAGAGAAGTTAAAGTTAAAATAAAAGTTATATAGGTAATGGAAACAAAAACTGGAAGACCTGTGCAATTAAAAATACAAAATAGGAAATAGGTTAAGATTTGAAAGGGAGGAATAGGCTAGAGAAATAAAGGTTAGGTAGAGTAAACCAAGGTAATAGGAAGCTAAAATCACTAAGTATAAAAAGGAAACCATGAATAATGATGGAAAAAACAATCAAAACAAGGGAAATAGTCAAGTCTTAACAGGATGGCTTATTAGACATCTCTTTTCTATCAGGGAATGGAAGGAGGCCACAAACATGCCTGAACCTCAAACAGGCAGATCTTCATGACATTATTCATGCTGAAAACTCAGAAAAAACATATAAAACAATAGATGTAATTCTAATTTTCTAGATTCTGGGTGAAGAGACCATTGCAGAAGTGTTTAGTGGTTTGCAGTGGGTATATGGGGCACAGTGAGGCAGGAAGCAGGAGTGGTACCTGTTCTTGTATGTTGCATCGAGGGCGACGCATTCTCCAGATTAAAACAGACTAAGGAAGAACAGAGCTTAGGAGCAGGATCAGAGGAAGGAGACCTGGCATCTAGGTCTGGCCCAGAAGGCATTCTCTGTGTGGTCTTCATCTTGTGACTCTGGATTTTTTTCTTTGCAAAGTAACCTTTAAATGTGTTTATCCTTGGAAAGAGGACAGAGCTGGTAGTTTTCTTCCTATGTTTGTTACCAGAGTATCTCACAGTACAGTACATAGATGGGAACATGATAGGGAGGCTGATTTCATTCCTTTATCCCAGAGTATTTATAAGTAGCAATGATACCCCTTACATTCAGCCAGTATGGGCTGGTAGGTAAAAAAGGTAATCTGATGTCTGTACTACCTGAGAACCTGAAACTTTCTATAGAATGGTTAATTATTTTTAAAAAATTAGCATAGCATTTTTTTTTGTTTGTTTGTTTTTTTGTTTTTCTCTGGTACCGGGAACTGAACTCACGACCTTGCGCTTGCCAGGCAGGCGCTTTTGCCGCTGAGCTAAATCCCCAGCCCCTAGCATAGCATTAAAAACAGAAGTATTCAAGTTGACAAGTAATGATAGCATGCCTGCACGATGTCTACCTCAGATTGAAATTGGAGCCTATTTTAATGGAACTTTCTGGATAGAAAGAGAAATCCAACAGTACAATAGTTCATTACAGCATGGTACAAGTTATAGGAGTTAATGCTGCGTGGAGTAAATTTGTCTTCATCTGGTACTGAGAGCATAAGTAAAGGGACACTAGTTGAATGAAAGAGTGAATGAATGCAAGCACGAGTGAAACAGTGAAGCCTGTTGGACCAGAAAGTGGATTGAGAGGCCTAGAAGCAAGACTTACCTTGGATAGGGTGTGAGGAGTGGGCAGTGTGAGGAAAAGAGAGGGGGACAGAGCTTATCCACAAGAAAGAGCTTTGCAAAGTAGGAATCTGATTTCTTTCCAAATTTTGGGCTGCTTGACAGTGCCTGGGTCAGGAGACAAAAGTTTATTTGGCCTTTTCCTCACTTGGCAGTAACTCCCTTTCTCTCCTACAACATGGGGGAGGGGTTGGGAAGGGAGTTTAGAAAGACACTGGCCCCCAGGGGAACAGGAAGTGCAGGGTGAAGGAGGCTGTGGGTGAAAGCCAGTGGCCACCAGGTGAGTCTGCCCCAGGTAACGAGTGCTCATCCCTTTGCTTTTTGTAGCGAAGACCCCAGGATGGCAAGGGCAAGAAGGACGAGGGGGAAGAGTCTGACACTGATGAGAAATGCACAATTTGTTTGTCTATGCTGGAAGATGGAGAAGATGTGAGGTAGGAGGCCACCTCTCTGAGTCTGTCTCCCTTCTGTCAAAGTCGCTCAATGCCCAGTCACCACACTGCATGCCCAGGGGCGAGGGTGCTTGCTTGTGTGTGCATGTGAGTGTGCCACGTGTGCCACAGTGTGCTTTGTGGTTGCACTGGGAAGGTAAGGCATGGAATGTTCTAGATGTGGTGCCCATGGTTATGGACTCATGGAAGTAAAGTGAAAAAGGGCAACATGATGTTTGGCCTGGCGGGTCTAACACAGTTGTGGCTTTGTTTCTGGCTGACCTGAAAGGGCTTCATGGAGGAGGAGGAGGGACCTTGAGGCTTACTTCCTATCCTGGCTTCCTGCCTCAGCATGGCCACACAACTGTACTCCCCGATGCAGAGTGTGTGTCTCCTGGTCCCCTCAGTGCCCATTACTTCTGCTGCAGCCCCAGCCCCTGCCTCTGCTGCCAGTCACCTGACTCTCTTCCTCTCTTCCAGACGCCTGCCCTGTATGCATCTCTTCCACCAACTGTGCGTGGACCAGTGGCTTGCCATGAGCAAGAAATGCCCCATCTGCCGAGTGGACATTGAGACACAGCTGGGAGCCGATAGCTGAGGGAGGAGTTAGCCAGTGGATACCCCATTTCCTTCACCAGGTCCCCCCACGGCCATAGCCCTTGCAGCCAAACTTTGCCTTCTGAGCCATTTGACGTAGAGGAGAAGCCTGCAAGCACATTTCGTGGAAAGAGGAGACAGTGGTATCAGTGTCTGAGGGAAGGAGTGGGTGGGGGAGGACCCACCCATCCAGATGGCGACTGCCCCATCCACCTTGCTCGCAGGAGGGAGGGAGCTGGCCGTGCCCGTGTCCGGAGCGGGGGTGGGAAGGGGGGGCCCACGCCGCTGAGAACTAGATGTGATCCTGAGGGCACTAGCGGATAGACGGCCCCTCAATCCTGACCTTTGAAGGATTGTATATATACCTCTGGACCACGTAGAAACCATGTAGGGGTCTCTAGCTATTTCTGTGGATGGCAGCCAGAGCATGTTAGCTTAAGAAAAACGTCGTGTGTGGTGCTCTAGTCATCTTGTGGTGGACATGTCGCTATTACTGAACTTGCACCAAATATTTCTCATTGAGTTTCTTGTTTTGGTGCCTGACTGAACCAACCAACGACAGCCCCAATTTTCCCGTCTTTATGAAAGAAGAGGAAAAAAGAATCAAAGGTGAAAAAAAAAAAGCCAAATCCTGTTTACGGTGAAAAAGGATGACTTTTTTTTCACCCAGGTTGGAAGGCGGGGTGGGGGGGAGGTGTTCTCGTTTTGTGGTCATTTTTGTTTTTTCCTTGGCTTTTGTTTTTCTCATGTTTACAGTGCACGGAGTATGGAAGAGGCCTCTCAGAAGGGATGACTGGGGAAGAGCAGATAGGGTCATAGTAGGGTTCTGAGGGGTTCAGGTGAGAAGAATGTATTGCCAGGGCAGGTGAGGGACTTCGTCTGGAAGTAGTGCTTCCCAGTCCTTGGCCTCATCGCTATCCCTCTGGTTCCACATAGAACTGGGGAGCACTCGGCCTTCAGCTGTAGCTGCCCCTGTGTTCCTGGGAGCCAGGAGGCCTCTGCTCCCTCCAGCTCCTTTCTTTAGGCTGGCTCTTGTCCTGTCACAAAGAGGCGATGTAGCCACTGCCTCCCTATGCAAAAAACTAGCCAGGTGATGCAGATGAGACGGCATAGGTGATGGACACTTGACCTTGGCCCGAGTGCTCTCAGCCAGCACTCAGGGCTAAAGTCCAGCTCCGTAGACCTTGAGGAGGACCTTGAGCCTCCTCTGGGTGCCTCAAGTCCAGTGAGTTCCTCAGAGGTGGTCCTGGCTCCAAGACCATGTTGTCTGGTTCCCTCCCCTCTCCCCCTCCACTTCCTCTCCCTTCTTTTGTCTTCTCTGCTCTCTCTTTTGCTTGTACTGAGGATTGAACACCAAGACACTCTAATACTGAGCTACCCTACCCCCTCAGCCCTGTGTCCCTGGGCTCTGGTTCCTTGTCTGACTCTTTGATAACTTTGGGCAAGTCCCTTTCTTTCTCTGTGCCTCAGTTTCCTTCTCCTTCCAGTGGGGAGAAACAACAGTGCGTCCCCCTTTCCACTCCCTGTGCCTCACCTAGATGTGGTGAGGCTGGGTTCTGTCTAGCACGTTCTGTGCTTTCTGTTCTCTGTGGAGCCTCTGGGTTTTAGGGATGGGGTGCTTTCCAAGATAGATCTGGAAGTTCCAAGCAACATCATATAGTGTATCTTTCTGCACCTCCCCGCTATCTTTTGACCCCAAAGGGAGTAGAGAGATGGGAGGACAGAAGACTGAAGACAGAAAAATTCACCAAATTTCAACCCACACCCAATCCCTTCTTCTAGCTGGAATTCTTCCACCTCCCTTTGCCTCTCGCCCTTCTCTTTTCCCCTTGTTTGCACTGCTCTCAAAGCCTCCCCTTCCCTTGGCCTGTAGCCAGTCTCAATGCTCTCATACCTATAAGACTGGGAACAGGACCCTTATCACATAAATGCACAAGTCCCGTGCACATAAGGAAATTTGAGTCTGTATTGCTGCTGCCAGAGTAGAACCAGGACCAATGGATGAAATTGACAGGGAGGCCAGTTTTGGTTTGAGTTAAAGCCTGCTGAGACAGCTGGCACTGTCCCAGAAGATGGCTGCTCTGGACACCTGTGGGAAGAAAGGGGGACATAGTTGCCAGTGGGGGTTACTCCAGAACCGTATTCAAATGAAGGTATCTCCCAGTGCCAATCTGGTGTTGAATAAAATCTCTGTTGAGTGCCCACCGGTGCAGGTGCTGGGAAAGTGAGAGCTAAGACAGCAGTGGAGGAGGAGATAGCGCACACCCAATAGTGCAAAAGTGGCAAGTAGTTTAACGTTCAGGGCTGGCAGTGGTGAGCATTTCATCATACAGTTTGGTGACTGCACTGTGCCAATAATGTCTGCAGGGCAAATGCTGGATAACCCACACTGGGAGAAAGACGTCTGAGTCAAGCTGGAAAGGAAGCTGCTTACTGATAGCCACAGGAAGTTGGGAATTCTCTCCCCTCCTCTCCAATGGCTTGGTCAAAACCAGGAACTCATCAGAAGATGGCTTTAGCCTGAAGGTAGCTAGGATAGTCTAGGCAGGTCACTCCTCTCTCAGATCAGCCTTCTGTTCCTTATCCCGAGGCTGTCCTGAAAGGCTAGCAGGAGAAGAGAGTCAGTGAGGAGCCAGGCTAGAAGGAGAACTGGTGTCCTGAGTTCTAGGCCTCGCTCTTCACTGATAAACTGGATGATGCTAGAACCACCTCCCCTAACCACCACTGGGCTACAGTTTCCCCAGCTATGTTACAGAAAGGTTGGGTTGGATGCTTGCTCCCAACACTCACATTTTGTGATCTTCCCTAACATCCACACATCTTTCAAGTCGTAGAGCTGTGTGCCAACCAGGCTGTGAAGAAGGACTTCTGTGGCATGAACATGTTTCCGAGGCTGAGGGCACACGTGCTGAGTGAGAATGGGACCCGATCCTCTCTTCCTTCTCATTCTCTGCAGGCTCCCTGAGTGCCCCAGGCTAGTATTAGGGACTGGGCTGGGGAGGGGGTAATTCCTGAAGTCCCCTCCCCTCCCCATCTCTCTGGGGTCCTTGTTCTCTGTGGGTAGGGACGAGCAGGGATGGCACTCAGAGCCTCCTAGCTCCCGTTTCCTTAGCAGGGCAGCTGATCGGGTGAGAAGAGTGGAGCAGGGTGTGGACTTCTGCTCCCTCAAAGTCCCCCGATGGGTCAGGGAGCCCAGCAGAGTGGAGAAGAGGCAGGGTCTGGCCTCAGCATCTCATATTCACCACCTCCAGGAGGGACACATCTGTAGTCCTCCTGCTCAACTCAAGGGACTCAGACTCTTTCCTGACTGAGACGCATGAGTGCCTTCTGGGGAGAGAGCAGCCCCAGGGTTCAAGTTGGGCCTCCTAACCGCAGGCATGACCACAGCAGGTCTGCCGAAGATGCCAATCAACCAACCCAATGCCACAAGCCCGGCTGGGCACAGGCAGAGGCGGACAAGGGCCGCAGGCTCCTCTATCTGGTGGATGCTGGCCACCTGTTACCCTTGCTCACCACCTGTGGCAGGACTCAAGCTCCTCTTCTGCAAAGGTTCCCAGCCTCCGTGCAAGTATTCTTAACTCTTTACGCCTAACGAACAAGCACAGTTTTTTCAATGGTGAAGAAAAGCACCAGACTTTTTTTTTTTCTGAAGAAATTCCCCAAGCCCCCTGCCTGCCGGCGGGATGAATACTCCCCGTGTGGGGCTGTAGCAACGTCTGTCAGGTTCCCTGTGTTTCATCTCCTGCGCGCGCGTAGAGCAAATGCTAGAGCGATTTCAGCTGATAGAAAAACAAAAATGAAAAAAAAAATCCACAAAAAACAAAAAACATGGCACGTTGCTAGTTTACAGGGTTTTGTGAGTTTAAATGCCTTATATTTAACAATCATAATTTATGACTAACTTGTAGATATTGTGGGTTCTTATTTAATTATTTTTATAGTTGTTTTGCATTTTTAATTATAATTTATTTATTTAGAAAGGATACTAATTTTTTTTATTACTCCTATTACCTCATTTTGGCGTTGTTTCTGGGAGTGGAATGCTTTGCATGCATTGGTACGATGACAAACAACTACGAATACAAAAAAAATTTTAAATAAAATTCTGCGAACTTTATTTCGTCCAAACTATCAGGGTGTGTGATTGCAAGCTGTCCTACTGTGGTGCTGGCCTCTTTGGATACATTCCATACGAAATGCAAACCTTTGATTCTGTATGCTGTGATCTAGTGAAAAACTCCAATATAGTGACTGTATTTAGCACATATATAAATATAATTTGCACTCGTCAGCAGACTGGGGTAATCCTTTCACTTGCTACCCTTGGCACCCTCCTGCCAACCCTACACCTCCACTTAACCTGCTTTTCCCTCTCTCCTTGTCCTTCCCACAACCTCAGCCCGCCCAGCCGCTGTACCCTGAGGAAGGTTCAGGGTACTAGAGGTCACTGTCTCCACCCAGGGCCCAACTCTCAATGGTTCCAGGACTGGAGCCCTTCAGACACTGCCCGCAGGAGCATCTGCAAGCCACAAAGCCTGCTTTACTAGAATGAGCCCTGGGGAGGGGCCAGGGACTGGGGTTTTCAGATCAGCACCACTGCACACTTCCCTGTGACTGTGAGTCCTTGGTCTCGTGTCTTCCTTGCTGGGAGAGGGAGGAGAAAGGGATTCTCTAGTGTCCCTCAGATTCAGCTAGAGTATGACACAGGTCTGGGGGACCACTACTGAATCTATCTCACCCTCTCAGAAGAGACAAAGAAAAGAAGGATGGAAGAGGGGAGAGGAAAGAAAGGAAGGGGGGGTTGGGCTGAGGATTTATCAAGAGGTTGCCCAGAGCAGGCATCCCCAGGGTTTTCGTCCTTTTATAGGCAGCATCCTGCAGGTGACAGGGAGGTCAGTAAGGTGGACACTTGCCTGGATGTGGGCCATGAGTTTCCATGGGGCTTGGGTGGTTATTCAGAGAGTGAGCTGGAGTCCATGCCTTGTTAGTTATGGAATGGGATGGGAAGCCCCAGACTATGGTGTTCGGGACTGGCACTCACACCCTGTCATCTCCAGGAGCCTTTGTGGTTTGAGCATTGCCCACTGACAGCAGGTTGGGACACAGAGTGTGCCTCATGGTCCCTCTTCTCTCCTGCCGCTCTAGGGAGCTATGGCAGGAGAGGTTGCCACGGAGGGTAGGGAGGCTTCAGTCTCACGGCCCCATAGGGGAGTGGGAAGGAGGCTTGGGAAAGCAGTGGCACCAAAGGCTGGCACAGGGCTTAGCCCAGGTACTTTTAAACCAGAAGAGAAGGTGCAGGCTCCCAAGAGAAGCCTTTGAACGGGCTTGACCCCAGTGCGCTGCCTCCCTCCTTCCTCTCTTCCTTCCCTTCTTGTCCAGCTCATCCCTCCTTGTTGGCTTTTGACATCACTGCCTTTGCCCGGTGGGGAGCTCCACCCTCCAAACAAGTCCCGTGGAGATGGATGGTGCTGGTGTAGGGGAGGGAAGACCTGGAGTCGCCATGCTGAGTGGCTTGTCCGAGTGGCTGGGCTGGATATGGTCCCTAAGCCCCATCTCTGCTCCAGCCTGATGATGGGTGGGGCGCTTCCTGGGGCTTCTTGCCTACGCTGCCCAGCTTCCCCTTCTGCCTCCACCCTGGAATCACCCGCCATGCTGGTGGGAGCACAACCCCCACACTACCAGGCCTGGCAGACACTGCCGCGGGGCTCCCGGATGGGCACGCCTTATGCTGCTCTGCTCCACCCTCGAGCCTGCTCCCCTGCTGTCCCCTCTCCCAGCTCCACTCCTGGCCATGGATGTGGCTCATTGCTCAGCTATGGAGCCTGCTGCACCAGGCCCTAAAGGGGGTAATTTGCTTGCCCCTGGTAAGTGAAAGGATTATCCTCAGTGTTGATTGTCCTTTTTTGTAACCCTCCTGCTGTTCTGTTCTGTTGTGCTGTGCAACATTTTGCTACATAGACTATTTTATAGCAGAAAGCTAGAAGAATATTTATTATGAATATTAAAGCAATAGTGCATCAATGAAAAAGCGGAGACGTTAGGAATTGTGTAAATGCTTAGATTCACTTTTGGTGGATTTTTTGTACTTTATTTATAACTAATAAAATGAACTGCATTGCTAACTACACTTACTGATGTCGGATGTTTATTTCTATGCATATACAGGGCGTGTCCGGGAAACAAACTTGTGTCTTTCATTTACATTCATTCACATATATCCCACCAACTTTCCAGGTCCTTTGTCTTGTTCATTTTCCCGTCTTTTCCTGCTTCCGTCTTCTCAACCCCCCCCATCTTTATACTCCCCCTTCTTGTCTGTTACCTACTTCTGATGTAGTTTGGGCCTGGAATGGCCCCCAAAAGCCTGTGTGTTAAAGGCTCCTTGGAGGTGATGGAATCTTTAGGAGGTGGAGCCTCATTACAGGAAGTGAAGTCATTAAGGGTGTGCCTGGGAAGGGGACATTGGGACTCTAGCTCCTTTCCCTCTCTCTTTGCTTCCCTGATGCCGTTAGGTGAGCAACTTCTTCTACCATGTGTTCCCATCATAATGTGCTGCCTTGCCATGGGCCCCAGAGAAATAGGCCAACCAGCCATGGACTGAAACTTATAAACTGTGAGCCAAAATAAACCTTTCCTCTTTATAAGGTAATTATCTCAGGTATTTTGTCATAGTGACAGAAAGCTGACCAACATAATTTCTTTTATCTCTCTCAGAGAACAGGTCCTATGTCTCTGGGTCAACCATTTAATTGACCTGTTTTCTAAACTTTAGTTATGGCTTTTCCTGAGGACAGTTATAATTTTCTGAACAACTTTCAAGTGAAACTTATATGTTCTATTGGAAGACTTCTTGTTTTCTCTGTAGGAGAGAAGGAACTGGATTTCAACCATTGGTATGGATTTCTGTCCTTTGTAGGACCTAAGTTCACATACTCTGTATGGTATACGGTCTGTTCTCAGAAACATTGGGCTCTGTAAACTAGAAAATGACTTTCATAAGCTGCCAAAAGAATCCATATAACAACATTTTATTTTAAAAAAGCAATGGACATTATTTTCTAGAGCAGTTTTAGGTAAATGGAAAATGAGCATAAAGTATAGAGAATTTCTCTGCACTTTCTTCACTATCCCCACCTGGTCCTACTAACATCTTGTGTTCGTGTGATGCATTTGCTATAACTGATGAGCCAATATTAGTGCACTATTATTATAGTTCATAATTTACATTATATTATGGAACCATTTAAATTCCTAGCTCATATCACAGTGAGATTGTCACCTGACAGGGTCCAAGCAGGTTCCCCAAAGTGGAGATGGAAAACTTGACCCTTGCTACCCATGGGGTAGGTTGTAGGTTTGCTAACTTCTGTCACAGAAAAAAAAAAAATTCAAGGCCAGGTGTGATGGCGCACACTGTAATCCCAGCACTTGGGAGGCTGAGGCAGGAGGATCACTGTGAGCTCGAGGCCAGCCAAGGCTACAAAGTGAGTTCAAGGCCAGCCTGAACTGCACAGCAAGATCCTATCTCAAAAAGGCCAAAAGAAAAAAAAAAATTCAAGATAGTGATAGTAAAGAGGTTTAAGAGGCAATACTTGCTTGCTTAATGGGGAGCTTTCATGAGGACGGAGGGTCAGCAATTTATAGGTAAATAACTCCTGCCCAGCCTTATTGTGTCTTTAAGACTCTTGTACCATGCCCCAGTGGTTTTCCTGGAAGTCAAAAGGATGCTTAAACTTGGGTAATGTTTGTGTTCTGAAGCTGTAGCTTTTCTTAAAAGGACACTTTTAAAGATTTTCCTTGTCTCTTTCTATACTTTTTCTATCCAACCTCCAGATGAAAAGCAATACTGCGTGTAGCTTTCCATGTGTTTCTACCTATGTTTCTTTGACCCAGGAACCAGGCATGGCCCTGTCACCACCAGCACCACATGCATGTAGGCAAATAAAGTCAAGGTCCAGCTCGGCAATTCCCAGGTCTCTGTGTCCTGCCTCCCTCCAGCATCTCCTTGTCTCTTTATTCTGTATCCAGTACAATGAAGGTGGCCCCGGGAGGCAGGGCCTGGGCCACTTTGGCAGAGGAGTAGCTTCTTTCCTTGGATTGCACACTTGCTTAGCACAAGGGAGGGTGTACTCAGCCTTCCTGGTCTCTGCCCCCTCCCACCTTCCCATGCTGGCACTCTGGAGGAGAGACTTCTTAGAAAACATCGAGGCTCGTTCTCTGCCCTGGCCTCATCACCCACTGTCACCTAATGGCCCTCCAACTAAGGAGGGAAGGAGCCTATCTTTACCTCACCCTAGGCCTCCTGAGTGCCTCCCCACCTCACCTTTTCTCCCCTGCAGCGCCCACCTGCAGCCCTGCCCTGCCTTCTCTGCCCCTCCCTAGCGCTCCAGGCCCTAGGAGGCCTTGCCCACTCCCAGCATTTTCCTGAGCTGCTCTCTGTGGGCCAGGATCGCTTGCTCTGTTCCACAGCGGTCAGCTGGCAAACAGCACGTCTTCACCCAGCTCCAAAGGCCTTCTGTCCTAGCACCTTCTCCATGTCGCCCACCCCGGCAGCCAGCCGTAGTGCTCTTTCCTCTATCTGACGGCGTATGTCAACTTCCATCTTTTCATTTGATGTCAAGCCTTACCCTGTCTGTGCACTTCCTGTGCCACTTGTGTGCTGTTTGACTTTGGGCAAGTTACTTAAACTCTCTGTGCTTCAGTTTCTTTATGAAATGAGAATAATGAATAGTATCTGCTTCAGTGTACTGTATGAGGATTTCATGTGTAAACACTTGTGCCTGTGGTATGGCAGACACTACAAATTTTGGCAGTAATGATGTCTTTTAAAAAATCCTTGCCTCTGTAATCTTTCTCTTTGATCTTTGCTTTTTTTTCCTCCTCCTTCTCCTCCTAGAGTGTTTCCAGGTCCCATCAATGTCCACATCCTGTGTGGTCAGCCACCGGCGATTGATCAGTTTTTCAGCAGGAGAGGTAGTGGCTGTGGTCTTAAAACCGAGACTTGTGGAATCGTCATTTGATAACGTCTTTGGAAACTTGAGAAGAAAACCCTCACTGAGGTCAGGAGGCTGGAGCACGGACTCACCTTCTGCTGGGTCCCAAGCGCCCCCAGCAAGCCCTCCCAAACCATGCTTGGGAGTGTAAGGTGGAATTGCTCTTTCCTTCTGAGGGGCAGCTCTTTTTCTAGGTCTTTCTGTGCTAACCCTCTTCTCCAGGCTCTACATCCTCGCTTTGCCCCAGGTTGAGTCCTCCCTCTCTCTCCGAAGCCCTCTGACCTTGCCCTTGCTCAGAGTGCGAGGGGAGGGGCCTTCTACACAGGGCTAATCTTGGTGTCTTGCTGGGCAAAGAGGCTAAGAGGGATGCGGGTGCCTATCCAGGACAGGGTCTTCAGAACGTGGGGCGCCCAGAGTACTTTCTGAACTCGTCCATTTGGACCTCACATAATCTGAATTCAGAAAGAGTATATCTGGGCCCAGCTGAGTTTACTCTTATCAAAGTCTTAGATAAAAAGATTTGTTCAGGCTAAAATCTGAGGAAGTAAGATTGGAACGTTTTTAGTTTAACCTCCTTAAAAGCGAAAGTGTTTTTAGGCTTTGTGCAACAGTTTGTATGTAAATAACTTGTGTTAATTGCAGTGGAGTCTTACCTTTTCTTTAAAGTAGACCCCAGGGATATATATGTGGAAATACTTTGTTAGCAGTTACTCGAAAGCAATACAATTATGGTTCTCTCGAAATACTCTTTAGCACAGGCTTGTTTCTAAATCAGGTGAGGAAAGATGGAGTTTGTCACTCAACCAGCTGTCCTTATAAGGAAGAACTCTGCAACAGCGGGAACTGTCAATACCCAGGGGTTGGGGGTGGGGCGGGGGTTGGCGTCTCTTGCCAGGACTGCAGGAAATGAAGTGCTGGAGAGAAAGAGACTCATCTCTTCTTTGTTTCCTTCACCCTAGCACTAGAGAGGGGCTAACTAGAGGTGAGGTGGGATTCCGGCACATGTGCCTGTCACACAGCAGCCGAATGACTCAAGACCATGTAGCATCATGGTGAGAGGGGTTGGGGGTGGGTTTCCCAGGAAAGGAGGTTGTTCTCTCTCACCAAGGCTGGCCGTTGGGCCTCACCCTCAGGATTAGGGCTGGTGGAGCACAGAGCGCTGTGGGGGTTACAGGTAGAGGAAAGTTTTTCTGTGGTGAGATGGGCAAGGTGTCCTGGGTGCAGGATTTAAGGAGGACCTTATTCTCAGACTTACCTGAGCCCAAGCTTGGGCACCTCCTTTAATTTTGCACCCTAAGCTTGACCTTGTCAGACCTAAGCTCTGTCCTTGATTCCTGCCCTGCTCAGGGGAGAGAATTACTGAAAAACAAAGCCCAGACCAGTGGCAGATTGGGTGAGACTGGAGCTTCTTACGGTCTCCCTCCCCAAGATAGAAGGCAGGAATGGGGGCAGCAGCCAGGTCTTGTACAGCACCAAGGTGAGATTAAAATGTGGCACAGAAGATCAACCCTTTCCTACTCTATGTTCAGAGGACTTGTAAGCCATTATCTTCTCTCCTGTCCTTCACATTCAACCTCAACATGGAAAAGAGAACTGTTGGCCTTGAGCAACAGACTTAGCAATATGCTGTCCCAGTGGCCCCAGGAACCCTAGGGAAGAACCAAGCAAGCAGGTGCCTTCTCTAGGATGGTGGAGATGAACCTGACAGATGATGAGTTCTGCAAGACTCTGGGCGCCTCTCCCCATCCCACCACCAGGCCGCTCCCCACCCTCCTCTCCCACTGTTGCACGCAGACTGCCATCTGGAGCCCGGCAAGTGTGGAGGCCATCGGACAGCCTGGTGCAAACCCAACTTGGCCCCTGTGTGGCCTGTGGCCCTCAGTTCCTGCTCCCAGAGAGTAAGAAGCCTGGACTAGCACGGGGTCTCCTTCTGCACAGAGCAGGCTCTCAGTCCTGTGTATTTCCATCCACAGAGCTGAGTGCCTCTGGCTTTAGGAGGTTACTCTGTTGGAAGACTAGGCTCTGGCCTGTGAAACCAGATATGCTGGAGGCACATTTTTATTTATTTGTTTCTGAATTTGTGGTTCTAAGAGTTTGAGATAGTTTATGATGACACATTAAGTAAATTATTTGT